AAAACCTACAGCTGTCAACTCCCTGAACAAGTAGCCTTTAAAATCCTTACTCTCTGAAGGGTAGGAGTGAGTTAACTACACAAATTTAAGAAAATCTGATGAACAAAATTATTCATCAGATCTGCTACAAAGCCAAGAGTAAGTGCAAAGTGCATTTTTAAAATTAACTACTTTTAGCAAGAAAAAGACCGCTGTATATGATCTCTTTCAAATTGAGAGAGTCAGTCACAGTGTGTACAATCCCTCCTGTTGAACTGGCTTTAGCATCACCTACTGCTAGGATGCAGCATTTGATCTCCCTGGGCAAACCTGTCTCACGTGTACAGCCTTGGCAAACCTGTCCCAGATATTGCAGCCTGGCATGCTACACATTTTATTGAAGCAATAAAATTTCCTTCAGCAGCTTTTAAATGTTTCCTTTTTTTCCCAGTACTGGGTCATCTGCTCTTAATTCATACCTTGCTATTGAATCTGTTCTTCCAAGACTGCCAGGAAGGTTATTCAATTTCATTAAGAGTAACCATTCAAATATTAATGAACTGCCTCCAACCTGGGGGACCTGGCAAGCATCACATCAAACACCATCAAAACCAGGGACCTCAATAGACAGGAAAGCTGGACTGGACAAATGCAGATCAGGCCAATATGGTCAATCAAACGTTCTCCCTTTATTAGTTAGAAGATGGCAGTTTATATACACTTCAATATAGTTTACAGTTTACAAAGGCAGTCGCATTGGCAAGCTAACATTGTTTGTCTTTGTCTCTACACTATAAACCTTTACTAATTCACACCCAGAAAGCCCAGTGCTTCACATCACACCTTAATATAATTTCTAACTGTGCCACAAGCTCTGAATTTCTAACTGCGTCAAAGGCTTGAAGGCCTCACAAAGCCCATATCTGAGGCCCAGGCTGGAGTAGCTCAAATCTCATTCCAGACATAAATCATGCCCTCTCTCTCTCAGAAATGCTGCAATGCACCATCTGTTTTTTTCATCTTTCTCCTTCAGAAGGGAACATGGAAAAATGTCTTCTGCTAGAAAGATCCCCACAGTGAGGGCTGCCAGTGTTGATGACAGGTGAGGAAGATGGAAAGATATAAAATTTCTTTTGCTTCCCTCTGCCTACTCATTCATAGAGGGAGGAGACGCCGTGATATATGGCCTGGCAGACCAAAGCTGTCTAGACTGGGAGACTTCATACAGATGGCATGGGGAGGGGAGAATGTGAGATCTTGCCAGATAGGTACCACCTTATTAAGAAAATACTGGGGAGAAGAGGAAGGATACACACCTTGCTCAGCAAACAAAACATGGCTGTTCAGACAGAAGGAAGCAAAGGAGGCTGCAGTTCTACCCACCCACCTCTGCTGATGCAGAGGCTGAGGCTCAAGGCAGCTGTGCAGCCCTTCCTCATGGCACTGATTCTGCACTGCAATGTTGTGGTGTTGCCAAACCTGGTCTCAAACCTGGAGAACATAATCCCTGACCATTTGCTCCTGACCGAGGCACACCCACAGCCCTTCCCAGGGTGTTGGTCAGTCATCCCTACCTTCTCATTTCCACTGCAAAGAGTCAGCAGAAATGATTCCCAAATAGCTAAAACACCAAAGCACACTGAGAAAGGCAGGTTTAACGCAAAAAAAAATGGCCACAAGCATGGGGCATTGCTCTTTATTTAAGCAAGCACAGAGTAGTTCCTGTCCATAGCAGGTATGGCAAACCTCATTTCTATTTAAGTGGCATTGGTCACTTTGGCCAGAGTTCTCTCTGTGTCTCAGGCACTGGGGACAGCAGTGACCAGGGCATGGACAGTCTGAAACCAGAGCAGATCCCTCTGGATTGGCAACATGCTGGGGACAACTGGGGATAGGAATGAGCAGAAACCATCAGCCTCTGGGGCTGTGACTTCATTTTAATCACACAGATCATTCCAAATGTAGGGATGCAGCTCCACCGACCCTCTTACTACAAAAGCCAGTTCTGATCTAGTTCCCCTGTCCTCCACAAAAACTACAGGAATTCAAATTTTGTGTTACTTTTAGAAATTTCATCTCAGCTCTGCAAAAAAAAATCCCTGCAGGTCCCTACTTTCTAGATCACCAGTCCTTATTGATCTCCAGTTCCCTGGAAAACCTGCGCCATCCCAATTTGACCTAGCAACAGCCACAGCCTGGCTGACCAGAAGTCTGGAGAGGTCAGAACCCTCCCCTGGACTGCTGCACTTGGAGTGAGATCCAGCTACAAATGCATCTCTGGAAACAGCCTTCAAAATGTTCTAGGATCAGATCTTTAAAATGGCTCCAAAGGGCGACAGCTTCAGCAAGAGTCCTTCCTTGTCCCAACCCTGGCTCACTGTCACACACACACAGATGAAGCCAAGGGTCATACAGGCCCTGCATGCAGACTTCCTGATCTAAACCCTTGTCTTTCCCTGCCCAGCACCAAGGGAAACCTTACAGAGGATTAATACAGTACTTTTGCTGAGAGCAGTCATCACCACAGGCCTTCAGGCTTGGCAAGATTTTGTAGTGAGCAGACCCAAATTCAGTTCTGGAGTCTAAATCTCTAACAAGTCTTGTTAGAAAGATACCAGTCACACAGAATGACAGAAGCTTTTCCACTAATAGCACATGTTCCTTTTCTCCCTCATCAGTCTGGGACTGTAGGACTGAACCTTTGCAACCAGGAGACAAGAGAGTTGTTATCAATGCTTAAACCTCCCAAATGGTGTCATTTCTCAGAGAATTGGGCCAGAATTGAGCTATTCCCATATGCCTGCAGTGCTTTGGGGAGGGGCAAGATGACATCCTGCTTCTGTCTGGAAAAATTTTAAGATAATAAAAAGTAATTTCCCTTCTTTCTCTCTCACCCATAACCAAAGCAGCCATGTAGACCAACACAGAATATTTATGGGAGGCCTGATTCACTGGGGAAAAAAAGCCAAACCCTAAAGAAACAAAACCACCTCAAATTTCAAACTGAAAACATGCTGCTGCCTTAACGGGAGCATATGGGAATACAGCTGGAAAGCAGGACTGAAAGTACTGCTTGTTATAAATTATGACACAAGACTAATTTGTGTCACTTTATAAAGAGAACTTTATTAATTTAGCAAGCAAGCAATACGGGCAAATGCAGCGCTGGGCGGCTGGGAAGCCTCTGCTCCCCCCAACGGCTCGCATCAGTTCCTTATCTTAGTCCTTTATGCTGTATCATTTTCTGCTGACATTGCCTTCTGCGGATGTGCTTCCTGTTGTTAGGGGGTCTCTTTTTCTGATATCCGGTGGTCATTTGAGGAAAGCTCCTATTCTTCTTCTTCCGAGGTAGCGTTAACTCTGCAACAACTTCTCCAAATATGGTTATGCAGCTTGCAAAGATTTCTCAATTCCACAATCTATTGATTCCATACATCCTGCCTTCCTGCCCCACTGTTTCCTGCATCTTACACAATCCCTAGGGCTTATCCTGATGAACAAAAACTATGCTATTGTCTTTCATAATTCTCCCCTTTGTCTTTTCATCATTTTGTTCATCAAACCTTTGTAATTCTTGGTGGCTTAAAACTAGGATCTCTTAGTTTCCAGGTTTTTTGGTATTGACTCATATTTTGCTCTAATCAGCATCAGGTGTGATGCTTCTAGCTTTCCCTTAATAATTTCTAATATTTTACTAAAATGCAAGGACTAAAAGTTAACTTAAGCATTAATAAGATCACAGGGCCTGCTATAGTTGATAATAAAGTGGTTAGCCATGGGGAGCTGTTGAACTAAGTTTCATACCAACTCTGTTGTGCCCCTCCCTCTTTTCTCCATTTTTCTAGTCCTTCTTTTAGCTTAGATACACGAATTGACAGTTCCCTGAGTCCACAATGCCACTACTGGAATCTCTCTGTGGAGGTTTATATCCATAAGGCCCCCATGATACTTTAAGAAATTTATCTCCTGCTACTGACTAATCTGAAGCTATTGTTTCACAGCCCCAGTGCCCACAGAAATATTCTCCATGGAAGTTGTAATACCCTTTCTCTGGGTTCGATGCTGGGCACATATAAAATCCGTTTTTATCTAAACAAGGCCCTATAGGGGATAGTTCACATAACTGTGGGTTAAAACTAGGGGATCCGGTTGTTATCTGGTTCTGAATTTCTACACCATCCACTCGGGTTAGTGTCTACTTAAAAGGTTGGTGTAAAGCCTGGGAGCCCTCTCCTTGGAATAGGGTACAAAATATTATAATACCAGTAATTTGCCAATAAGGGTGGAGTCCTGACCTTGCATTTACTGTATAATGTCCTATTCTCCCCTTTTGGGTTTGTTGCCCTGTTGGTGTCTCGGGGGTAATCAGACTGGTCTTCTGGAGGAACTTAGTACTTGGCTGGCAATAGTTGGAGCATTTCAGCATTATTCTATTTTTGGGGGGCCTGGCTCTTTCCCCAATGCCTTGCCCGCCGACTCGGGTGCTTCGAGCCGCGGGGTAAACCATCTTCTCGGCAGCAGCGGTACTCACCTGAGCGCCCATTCTCCTGCTCCTGCCTAACCTTGTACTGTTCCCAGTTCTTATCCTTGACCGGGGGTGGGTCACACGGGACCCCCTTTAGTTCCCTCCGACAACACTCTTTTATAATTTGGGCAACAAATGGAGGGGGCTCGTTAGAGTGGAAACAAAAGTTTTCTGGATGCACCCCTCTGGTATAAATTTTTCTCAGATTCAAAAGGAATACACTGATTTCCCACTCCCCTAATTTCAACACAGCTTTGGTTAATTCTCATTCAGTCTTGTAACACTCTGTACAAACCCTAGTGGGCGGCCTCCCCCTTCAGCAATGGACTCCTCACCGTTCTTGGCAAACTTTACATGCAAAGCATACAAAAGGATAACAATCACAGTCTACCTTATTACAAATTATCAAATAATCACTAACAAGCAGGTAATTATATCCCTCTTGCTCCCCTTTGTGACTGATTTGAATGATGTATACAGAGTTCATCTGTTTCTTTTAATGGTAACCTTCAAGTCCCCAGGCTGGCTGGTCACCTTCCAGTGGTCGTCTGTGGTGACTGGACCTTTGACGTGGCTCGCATGAGTCCACCCCTTCTCAGCTGTTCTGATAGCAGTTTCTGTGGTAAGCAAAACAACAAACGGACCTTCCCAATGTGAGGTCAGACAGGTCTCTTTTCAGATTTTAATAAGCACTTTATCCCCAGGCTTTATTTTGTGAATAGGGAGGTCCAAAGGTGGTCTCTGCACTAATAGCCCCTTTTTCCGGAGCTCCTCTCTCCTATTTATTATCTGTGTGATGTACTACAACATGTGTAGTTGCCTTTGCTGTGGGGAAGGCTTCCACATAGTGGGTGAGGTGATCCACTATGACTAGCAAGTACTTATACCTTCTTACTTTAGGTAACTCTGTGAAATCCACCTGTACGTGAGAAAAGGGTCTGAGAGCCAGCTCCCGACTGCCCATCACTCTCTCTCTCTTTGCTGCTGCTTATTTACCTTTAAGCAGGTTAGACAGCGACTGGTTACCTGCTTGGCCAGGTTATATACCCCTATACACATATATTTCTATTAGTGCTTGAATTCCCCAGTGCATTTTGCCGTGCATTGCCTGTAATACTCTCAATGCCATCACTTTTGGCAACACCTCTGACCATCAGGTAATATCTATTTGCCTTTCTCTTTTCCTGTACCCCCATTTCGTCTAATTTTTTTTTTTTTAAACAGTAAATGTTAAAATGAATTTTGGGCCATGTGAACAGCAATATTTCTCCTCAGGGCTTTCACAAAAATATTCCAAACCACCCCCACAGGTGGTACCACTCTCCCGTTGCATGCTCATCGGTTTATATTTTAAAGTTAGTAGTGCCGCTCTTTTTGCCTTCTGGTCAGCTAGATTATTTCCTCTGATTGTGTTTCCCATGCCCTTCTGGTGTCCCTGTACGTACACTACAGCTATCTCTTTTGGACCCCTTATTGCCTGTAAAATCTGTTTTATAAGTTCTTTATGCAACAGTCCTTTACCCTGTGAATTGATTAAGCCTCTTTCCTTCCAAATTTTCATGTAAGTGTGCACGACACCATAGGCATACTTTGAGTCAGTGTAAATTGTCCCCGACTTTCTCTCTAATAATCTTAGAGCCCTTAATACTGCATACAATTCGCAAGCCTGGGCCAACCAGCTGTGGCTCAGGGGACCAGATTCCTTTACCTGTAGGGTTTTCCCATCAATTATAGCATCCACAAACAGCTTATCCCCCGTTTCCACTTCTTCCCCCTCCAGGTCTGGTCTAATCTTTATTTGTTCTTCTATTTTCTGGAGGCAATCATGTGCTTATTCTGAGCGAGGCTCACCATAGAGAAACTGTGCAGGATTTTGGAGGGCAGTGGTCTCAGGTGTCAGTTTAGGGGATGAAATTAGGATTCCTTCATACTTCAAAAGCCTAGCATCTGTAATCCATTTTTCTGCTTTTGGCTGCAATACTACCCTTATGTTATGTGGGGACATTACCCTTAACTCGCTTCCAAAGGTAATCTTACCGGTTTCTTCTACCAGCAAAGCAGCTGCCACTATTGCCTGTAAACAGGTGGGCCAACCAAGACTAACAGGATCCAGAAGCTTTGATAAGTAGGCTACTGGTTTCTTACTCCCAGCCCAATCTTGAGCCAAAACTCCATATGCCGTTCCCCCCATCTACATTAACAAACAGATAAAAAGGTCTCTTCAGATCAGGGAGGCTAAGTACAGGTGCATTACTCAATTCTCTTTTAAGGGCCTCTAATTGTTCCTCATCTTCTTGTGACTATTTGAGTAATCCTTTGTCAATTTATCATAGTGTCATGCTTTGACACAGAATTTTTTTTTTTTTTTTTTTTTTTTTTTTAGAAAGAAGAGGTCAATCCAGTCAAGAGTCAAGTTTAGATACTGACACTTAAAATAACCAATTAAAAGTAGACACGCCTCTGAGAACACAGAGGGGTTAAAAGCAGAATTCCCAAGAGAATTAGCTCTCTCTGGTTCTGGTCATCGCAAGGTACAGGCCTCCTTCAGCAACTACCTGTTCAAGAATAGACAGAGAAAGCTAAAGAAAGTGTAAAGATGCCCTCTGTCTTCAGAGAAAAAAGCAATCTCTGTTCTTAGACCCTTGGCCCCAGGGGAAAATGAGAGATTATAGTCCCGAAATAAAACACTAGACTATTGTTCCTATTAGTCCGTAGCAAAGCATCCTTAAAAGAACCCTATAAGCAATCTCTATCCCTGCACGGTAGTAACAACACTGTAACGTAAAAAAGAGTGCGTCACACTAGCCAGTGTGTCTGAGCAGTGCCACATATAACATGAAAACACAAGAGGTAGCAGCTGTGTTTCCTAAGAGTCTGTAATACAAGGGGGACTCCTCTCTTCCTCAATAAACTCAGTATTAATTATCTTAAAAGATAAAAACTTAATTAAAGATCCAAATGAGTCTCACTATAATTTAGTAGAGTTAAGTAGTAAGAAGAGGAATATTTTAGAAGGTTTTCATTTAAATTTTGTATAGTTTTTTCCTTTACTTTCTTTTCCTTTTGTAGTAATAGTAGTAATAGTGTAATAACATTTTTCCTTTATTATTAAGTTTAGCCTGCTTACTCTGTTCTCAATCGCATTTCACATCATTCAATTGATAAATTGCATTTTTATGGGGCACTGGCATTGTGCCAGCGTCAAACCATGACACATATAAAAATTTTATCTTTCCACTGAAATTTCCTATCCACTGCCTGAAGTACCCAAATAGTCCCAATAATTGCTTTACTTGCTTTTTAGTCCTCAGGGCTGGGATTGAGAGAATCTCCTTAACTCTATCTGGATCTAGTTTCTTAGTTCCCTTACTCCACCTGTGGCCCAAGTACTTTACCTCTTTTTCTACAAACTGCAACTTGGATTTAGACACTTTCAATCCCTTTATACTCAAAAAGTTCGGTAATCTTATGCTCTCCTCTCTCACTGCCTCCCCCTCTCGTCCTGCACCTTAAAGGCTTTTTGCACATTCTGTCCCCTCGGGACGGCTCTCTTAATGCCCTGTATGATTATGTTCCGCAGGTCGTCCATATGGGTCCTACGCTGCGGGTCTTGGTTATTCCACTGGGGATTTTGCAGGGGCCATTTAGTGTCTGCCAATGGTCCCTGTTGATGTTCATTATCCCAGGTTCTCATCCCCCATTTCCCTTATTCTCCTTTCCTCTTTAAAATCCCCCAAACTCCGTGTCAAGTCCCCCCAGATTTGGGTCAGAACTTCCTAATTTGGGTCCATACCCCCCATATTTGGGTCACAACCCCCCAGATTTGGGTCAGAATCCCCCAAATTTGTGTCAAAACCTCCAAATTTCAGGTCTAAGTCTTTTAAATTCTGCCTCCAAACCCCCAAATTTGGTCAGAACCGCCCAGATTCGGCTCAGAACCTCCTGGTTTTGGGGTCAGAACCCCCTAAAATTCTCCTTAAAACTCCCCAAATTTGGGTCAGAACCTCCTGGATTTGGGACAGAACCCTCCCAAGCTCGGCTCCAAACCTATAAAACCTCTTTAAAATCCCCCAATTTGGGTCCAAACCCTCCCAAACCGTCCTTAAAATAGTGGGTCATTTTGCTTTAGTCTTTTTCCTTTCCCCTGCTGGGAAGGCATGCCAATTATTTATCATTACTCCTAGAGGACTATCCTCAGGGATCTGGGGAAGCTTTGCAGGGGTTCCCCCACCCATTGGGACCAGAGGGCTTGCTTTTCCTCTGTCCCATCTTCCGGAGTGCACTCAATTTTTCACACACGCACTCTCCCCTGGTTCGTGGCCCAAGCCCTCTCGGGTATTGGGAACCGCACTACTGAGGGTTCGCACTCACTTGGTCTCTATGAGACCTCTCACAGACAACACTCCGGGAAAACCACCCCAACGAGCGGATTACCGGCCTATACTTACGCGTCCTGCGTCTTCGCTCGGAACTTCGTGCACAAGTTTACAGGGGGTAACCGGTTCTCCTTTGCCCACTGCTTTAATTTAGGTTTGTCGGTAGAGAGACTGGGAAGGTCTGGAACAATCGGGCCCGCCAAAAAAGGCAAGGCGCCTCCTGAGGGTCCCAGAACAACCGGGGCTATTTCTCTATCCGAGTCACGGCAGCAAATTGTTATAAATTATGACACGGGACTAATTTGTGTCACTTTATAAAGAGAACTTTATTAATTTAGCAAGCAAGCAATACGGGCAAATGCAGCGCTGGGCAGCTGGGGAGCCTCTGCTCCCCCCAACGGCTCGCATCAGTTCCTTATCTCAGTCCTTCTTTATGCTGTATCATTTTCTGCTGACATGGCCTTCTGCGGATGTGCTTCCTTGTTGGGAAGGGTAGATAAATATGATTAAGAACCACAATAGTACAGCCAGGACGAATATAACGCCCCCTACTGGCTGGACAATAACCCTCACTTACAGCGGGGTCCAAAGGCCAAATGGACTCTTCCATCTCACCCCCCAGAATCTATGGTTCACCCCACATCTGTAACCCTCCCGTGAACCATCAAGTGTCTGTGACTCCATTGGCCCAGGTCCTGTTCCAGCCCACCTTGGAGCGCCCCTTGATAAAGGGTCTCCGGGGGGCCGGACGCCCTCTTGGATCTTCCCTTCTCCTCCTGGAACTTCCTCCAGGAGTCCCTGCTCCCCTCTTTGTTTCTCCCCTCCCCCATCACCTCAGGCCCAGCCACGTGCTGCTACACAGCACGAGGCAGAGCCTTTCTGCATCCTGAATAAACCTCATCCCCCAAGAGCAACCAACAGAGATCTCGTTTATGTCTGTCCGTGGAATACCCAATAAACGTCTTTACACTTCCTGTTGTTTGGGGGTCTCTTTTTCTGATATCCGGTGGTCATTTGAGGAAAGCTCCTGTTCTTCTTCTTCCGAGGTAGCGTTAACTCTGCAACAACTTCTCCAAATATGGTTACGCAGCTTGCAAAGATTTCTCAATTCCACAATGTATTGATTCCATACATCCTGCCTTCCTGCCCCACTGTTTCCTGCATCTTACACAATTCCTATGGCTTTACCTCATGAACAAAAACTATGCTATTGTCTTTCACACTGCTCAGGTTGTAACTGACATAAATGTGTTAACCCTGTGTCCTAGGGTGACTTTATGATGCTTTTATCTCCCATTCATCTGTTTAGCCCAAAAATAAGTTTTTGCACCTTTAAGACTGGTTTGGAGATTGAAGAGAGGGGGAGAGAAGAAGCGTGCAGTTTGTTTTCAGAAACTGCACTCATTCCTCCACATTCTGGCTCCTGCCACTGCATTGTCTGCAAACTGACAGCGGGATAGACCTCTCCTTTGTTGCTTTTAGTTGCTTTCTAGCTAGCTAAGGCAGAAAAATTTCCCTGGACTGTGTTTTCTCTTTTTCTTAGAATTGTTTAAACCTGCTCTGGACTAAACACCCAGAAGAGCACCAGCAGCTCACACCTGTGGCCCACTGGGCCAGCTCTGGGCCGTGGCACTTCCAGTGCCAAAAAGACTGATAAGAGACTGAATAAGCCAAGGTACACCTGTAAAAGAGACTTCCTGAGTTTGTAATCTCTTTTAGTGTAGCAAGAGGTTTTATTGTTTAATATTGTTAATTTTTTGTGCTAGTGAATGCTTTGCCTGTTAAATAAACGAGTTTTTTCTGCTTTTCTAAAAAAAAAAAAAAAATATTTTCCAAAACCAATAAGAAAGAGGCTGCATAAATCTATTTTCTAGAAGAACCTCTTTAGAAGTTTTCTCCCAAATTTGCCCTAAACCAAGGCACCCTGGTAGACCACAAGCCTTGGCAACACAAGGCAGAACCCTGAAGGGGAAAGCAAAAGATAATGGTGTGCTTGGTATGTTTTGTTTGAGAGAAATCATGAAAGACTGTACATGCCTGTATGAGTCTGTACAAAGCTATGATTAAACAATGTTACTAAGAAATGTAAATGTTGTGATTACTGCTATTTTTAGCTATAGCTGAAAAGGTATATATACTGAGCTTTTAGAATTATTAGAAATAATAAATTTGCTTTATTCATGCAAACCATGGAGTTCCTGTCTCTCCATTTGCCCACAGGAGCACACAAAACTCTTAAGACAGAGAGGAGATTACAGACCAGAAAAAGAGCCAAAAGATCCTTCAATACACTCTCTGATTGATAATTCCAAAGGTAATTCCCCATGGATCATAAGCAATCGCTATAATTTTTCTTCTTGGATCATTATTGCTTTGCCTTTCTGTGGAAGAGTTTCAAACACCCATTTGTGGGTTCAGGGGCTTGGCTAAGTTGTTTATGGCTCATCCTCAAAGGCCCAGACCAAACCCTGCTCCAGCCCCAGTTTCAGGGAAATACTGATTGACAGTTTATTTATTAACAGTTTATAAACACTCTCCTTCCCTGCAACTCAGACCTTCACTGCATATCCCTGAAGTGGATTTACTCCATTCTTTGTTCCCAACAGCACCTCTCCAGCCCAAATCCCACTTCTCACAAACACAAACAAAGCAGAACTAAGACAATAGTTCCACCAGCACCTGACATTCTGAGTTCCCTGGATTGCTCAACCAAGCACTCAGCAATTTCACCTCAGCCCAGAGACTCAGATCTCTGTCCCCAGAGGGAAACACAACCTGTTGGGACACAGCACAGCTCTGGCGCCACATTTCCTCTTCCCGTCCTCCTTCTTCCAGCAGACCAGGCTGCTGGTGGGAGACGTGCAGGTGGGCAGCCAGCGGCAGGGCCTGCTCCGTCCCAGTCGCGCCACTCTCTAAGTTCCGGGTTTGTTCACTGCTTCTCTCAGCTTGTACGGTAGCTAGAATCCCAGCTGCAGTGCTGTGCTGGGGATAGGGAGAAGGGAGGGGAGGGAAAGAGAGAGAAAGAAAGAGAAGGAGAGAGAAAGAGAAAGAGAAAGAGAAAGAGAAAGAAGAAAGAGAAAGAAAGAGAAAGAGAAAGAGAAAAGAGAAAGAGAAAGAGAAAAGAGAAAGAGAAAGAGAAAGAGAAAGAGAAAGAGAGAAAGAGAAAAGAGAAAGAGAAAGAGAAAAGAAAGAGAAAGAGAAAGAGAAAGAGAAAGAGAAAGAGAAAGAGAAAGAAAGAGAAAGAGAGAGGAATTAAAACTGTTATATGTGTATATGATAATTTGTGCAAATAAATTGTGTATATTTTATAGTTACGTACTGTTAAGATATACTCTCAAAGCAAGTTTTTAAACCACACAAACTAATGACAGGGATTGCAACACAATGTGGAAACCACCTGGACAAGGGAGGGAGGACTTAATTTACAATCAAATGAATGTGGCCAGCCCGGAGATGGATCATCCATCAAAGTGGTCCGAGGAACTGCCTGGACGATGAATACGCGATAAATATCTGAGATTGAGATAGCCAGAGCCATCAGGGAGATACATCTCAATACTGAATTCTGGGAATGCGATCATGGGTGTTCATCACCAGGCATGTTTTGTTCAACTTGCCACAGAGAAAGAACTCCACATGAGTATGTGCAGTCTGAAAAGGAAGAAAAGGGACTCTGCCCCAGGCTAAATAAACTGTATAAAAATCACCCATACAGGACAGCTGATGTGAACACAGGGGACCCTATACCCTATCCTGTAGTGGTCAAACCTGTGTCTCACCCAGATCCCAGGCTCGGCACGGGCCCTTTTTTTTTTTTTTTTTTTTCCCCTAGAGGCTTTTCGTTGTTGTTCTCTAAATTTATATTTGGACCATTTAATAAATTTTATTTAATTTATAAATTGGAGCATTCATTTATAACAAAACCAAGTCCCAGGCAGCATAAGGGCCAAGCCCCCCAGAGCCCGTTCCCCTCCCATTCCCCTCACTCTCGCCCTTCCCACGCACATGCATGCCCCTGAGCGAAGATGAGGGCGCAGCGCACCCTAGTGGGGCCATGTGAGGAGGCAGCAGGAGCATCAGAGCAGCTGTAGAGAGGCCGGGGTGAGACGGGCGGGACAGACCCAAGGCCATGGGGGGTTCTGAGGCCTCCTCGAAGCTACCCAGGCTCCTCCTTAGTGCGAGGTGTGGGAAAACGGGGTAGATCCATGCCACGGCTGCAGGAGCCTGAGGAGCAGCAAAGGAAGGGCTGTGAGGGGCATTAAACAAAGGGATGGAATTGGACAAAGTGAGGGGACTCTGTGCGGAGATTGCTGCACGGGCACAGGTGCTGCTGGCTCCTCTAGTTGGAACCATGGAGTCCCTGAATGATTTAGCTTGGAAGGAACCTTAAAAGCTCATCCTCTTCCACCCAACTGCCATGGGCAGAGACACATTTCACTAGACCAGGTTGCTCCAAGCCCCCTCCAACCTGGACTTGGACACTGCCGAGGATGGAGCAGCCACAGCTTCTCTGGGCACCCTGTGCTGGACCCCTCCATGCTCAAGGGAAAACATTCCCTTCTGTGAAAAATGCATATTTTATGATTGGCTTTTCGCAAATATTACAATGAATATTACTTGTGTAATGTTAGAAAGTTATGCTGTATTAATTCTCTTAAGTGGTGTGTTAAATATAGTTTTAGGTTCCAAAATAATGTTAAAATATGTATGTAGGGGGAGTTTTTTTTAGGAATGAGATACTCGCTTTGAGGAACACCTAAATCTTCCAAAGGAGAGGAATTTATGGCTTCTTATCAGACGAAACTAATTTCTTCAGGCCTTGCTCAGACTCGAAGAGGCCATGGGGATTAAAGGAAAGTGTTGACATACAACAGACAGAGTTTCTTGTTTTAAATAGAATGTATACTGTTACAGTGAGCTCATGGGCACTCTGTGTCTCCTTCCCCGGGACCCTGTGACTCGGATCAAGATAACCCTGGACCCCTCCTTCCTGCCCCAACAGGGTTGGCGGAGAGCCAGAGAAGCCCACCCTGTCCAAAGTCTATATAAACCCCTGACAATTCCTGTTTGCCCTCTTTTGCACCGCTCTCCACATGGACATC